TCTTCAAATGGTCTTTTAAAAACTATAAATCCTACAACGAAGAGATTTATATTGTGAGAATCACAAGACCCAGACCTACATTTTGATGCATAGTATGCCTCTGAAGTATTAAAAATGAAGGCACAGTCACAGTTTAGAAATTGCACTTCAAATTTGAGCTTTGTAGAGTGAAGTTTCAATGAATGTCAATGGACGGCGTTAGTTGCAAACAAATTATTATATTGTGAAAACGATCAGGACTATGGCTTAGCCGTTAACATGTTTAGTGGCAGCAGGGATAGCTGAACATTTTGATATAGGATTTGTGTAGGTGGGCCTGAAAATAAGGGAGTGGTGGCAGTTTAGAAATCATGTCCTGATTTTTCAGCTTTTGCCAGCTCCCACTCTAGCTTTGCCATTCATTCCTCTGGGACAAATTGCGCCACAAGAACGACGATATTCCGTGAACCATTCGGCGAAACGTTCCACAAAGTAATAGCAATCCGATCGGGATTTTTGTCTATGTAGTGTAAAAACTGTGGGAGGAGTTAGGGTGGCAAATTTGGCTATAATAAGAATAAGAATAAGAATAATATATATGTGAGATAACATTAAGTGGTCTTGCTATGCAAGAACACTTAATAATAATATATATGTGAGATAACATTAAGTGGTCTTGCTATGCAAGAACACTTAATTAGACTTAGATTAGGAGCAGATGACTACATAACATATCTACATAAATCACTTAGTGTGCCACCTATGTCACTGCTTCCTGCAGACTAGGGGAAATTAGATACAGCAGATGTGTATGGAATGCGTCATGGTGACAGTCACTTGCACAAGAGAACGCTTTAGGATTTTGGCTCAGTATGAGAAAGAAATAAGGCTTCAGACAAGTTCATGTTACACTTGATATATTATTATTTTCTAATGTGATTTCTAAACACATTTGTTTTGATCCTAACATAAATCAGTAAATGGGGCACTCTAAGTACCAGAACAATGTTATATCTATGTGAAGGCTACAATGCAGAGAGTACTGTCTCATATCTAAGGTGGTGTATAACTACAGCAATTTAATAGAATTCCCAAAGCTATACTCCTGTCCTCTAAGGCTGATATGTCATAATTATAAATTATTTTATTTTACTTTTTTTTTTGCATTAAATAGTCCATTAAAATAATTGAGGACTCTATTTCTGAATGTAGTGCCTTTAGAATATACTCCACCCAGCAACAGAACATGCCAGTGGATAGTGCACAGTGCAGAAATTTCTTCCTCAGTCCCACTGTTTGTTTTTTTATTGTCTCCATGCACTATTTTGCCCCACTTTCCCTTACCGAACAGTTTTGTCTCTCCTAACAAAAATAAATAAATCCCTGCCTAAACTGAGACAATGAGAGCCTTGGTGCCTAGGACACACACACAAACAAACAATCAAATGTACAAATAGGGAATTCCACAGGTCAGAGCATCATGTCACAAGGAGACTCCCAGAGTGATTGACCACATAGCCATTGGAGAAGGCGCACATCCATTTGATGTATTATGGCAAGTTGCAAGAAGATAGAAAAACCTCGAAATATACTGTTTGCTGTTTATTGACTAACATCTGAGCAAATTGAATTCTGAATGGCTAGATTTAGGCAGAAATTAAACATCTTGATAAATTCTCCAGCTCATTTATAGTCCCAACTTGGAAATTTTGGCATTCAGATTTCATTTTGCTATAGTTATGAGTTTAATGAATAAATAAATTTATATTCTCTTCATCTCTGCAATAAAAGTATTTGCTTTCTCAGAAATTCAAAATGAATTTCTAATGTTAGTAAAAAGGTTATATCTTGTTTCAATTTGACCTAATATACAAAATTTACTTTGAACTAACGTAAGTGGACTAGATGTTACCACATCTCTATCCACTAAATCATGTCTGCCTCCCTCACATGCAGCCAGTCACAAACACATGCAGTCACATGCAGCCAGTCACACACACGCGCAGCCAATCACACACATACACAGTCACACATGCAGCCAGTCACACACACACATGCAGCCAGTCACACACACAGTAACATGCAGCCAGTCAAACACAAATGCAGCCAGTCACACATACACATTCAGCCAGTCAGTCACACACACACACACACACATTCAGCAGTCACACACAAACTCTCTCTCTCTCTCTCTCTCTCTCTCTCACTTACCGAAGTCCCTCCCTGGAGTCTAAGTTGGAAATCAGGGATTCCTTCTTGCTTCCAAGTTCCACTACAGCATGGAAAACCCCGCCCCGCTGCTGATTTGGCTCTCCCCCATATTTGATTAGCCCCACCCCCACTTTCCTACCGTGTACATGTTGTGGTTTTGCAGTAATTTGGCTGGCCGTCCCTGCTTGTGTGAGCTGTGTCGTCAGCCATGGCGACCTGTGCACCCGCCCCCCTTTAGTACACCATTGGGCATACCTAGAGCATTTGGCACTTGGGGTGGATCCTGTGTTTGACAAGTCCCCGTCCCCATTCTACAAACCCTGCACCCCCCTTCCATAAAACTCCTGCACCCTTCTTCCCAAAAAAACCTGCCTCTCCCTCTAAAGCCTCTGCTCAGCCCCTTACAATAGAATTCATTATTTTACACAACAATATTAGCAACAGCCTTCAGAGTCCAGTCCCAGGCACACAGTCACACACAGTTACAGGCAGACAGTAACACAAACAGTTACAGACAGTCACACATACAATTACAGGCAGAACAGTCACATGTCACAGGTAGATAGTCTCACACACACAGTTACAAGACACATCCCCCGATCACAGGCAGAAAGTCACACACACATAGTCACATGCAGACAGTCACACACACCCACAGGTTTACAGACAGTCACAGGCAGACACTCACACACACAGTCACAGTCAGATAATCACACACAGGCAGTCACACACACACACACACACAGTCACAGGAAGACAGTCACACACACACACACACACACAGTTAGAGGCAGTCACACATACACACAGTCACAGGAAGACAGTCATACACACACAGTTACAGGCAGGCAGTCACACACACACACACACAGTCACAGGCAGACAGTCACACACACAAACTCACAGGCAGACAGTCACACACACACAGAGTCACAGGCAGTCACACACACACACACATACACACAGAGGCAGCCAGTCATACACACAAACTCACAGACAGGCAGTCACACAGTCACAGGAAAAACAGTCACACACACACACAGAGTCACAGGCAAACAGTCATACATAATCACACACACACACACACACAGTTACAGGCAGGCAGTCACACAAACACAGGCAGACAGTCACACACATAAATGCACAGGCAGACAGTCACACACAGAGTCACAGGGAGACAGTCACATACACAGTCACAGGCAGACATTCACACACAAGGTCACAGGGAGACAGTAACGCAGACAGTCAACACACACATACACACACACACACTCTCTCTCTCTTACTTACAGACCACACGGGCTGGAGGAGGAGTGGATTAACTGAAGTCCCTGGCGTCTGTAAGTTGGGGAAGCAGGGACTCCATCCTGCTTCCCCTCATTGTGCAGCAGTAGCAGCAGGTGGAGGCTGTGTTTAGCCCCGCCCCATCTGCTGGTTTTGCTCCGCCCCTGTTTTTCTTAGATGCGGACAGGGTTTTCAAGTCCTGCAGCTGTCTGCGTGTGTGAGCTGTGTGTCCTTATTACTTACCCGAACCCTGTCGTTCCCCCACCGTCGATCGGTGTTGCTCCCAGTCTGGAGAGGACTGCCTGGCAGCCCAGATAGTCCCCCCTCTGCAAATTAGGCAATAGGTGTATGTGCATCTGCCTGCAGGGGGACTGCCTAAACTGACAGGTAGTCTCCCTGCTTCTGAAAAATAAAAGAAAATATGTTAGCAATAAATAAATAAATATATATATATATATATAAATACAAGATATATATACATATATATCTATATATAGTATGTATATATCTCATATATATATATATTGTCATACTAAGTGTATTTTTATATTAATATATACATTAATTATACATTAATATAAAAATACACTTATAATTAAATTACACACGTGTATATATATATAATAGCTATATATATTGTGTATATATATATATATATTATTATAAAATATAAATGATAAGTACATAGAAATTAATTTAAAAATGTAAAAATAATGAAAAACATTTTTACAATTATATATGTATATGTAATTTTATTCTAACTGTATTTTGATATTTATATATATATATATATATATTTATATCAACATACACTTAGCATGAAATTAATTATATATATATATATATATATATGTATATATAAATAAATAAAAATAATACAAAATATATATATTTCCATATACAAAATGACATAAATAATTTCATAAATATACACGTAGACTTCAAATATATAAATATGTATATACATATTTAAATTCTATGTGCATATTTATGTAATATTTTTACATAATTAGGTAATTTTATTTATTTTGCTATTTGGGTGACCTGCCTGACAACCCAGGCCGAAAGAAAAGAGAATTGCATTTGCTAGCACTGTATTTAACCCTGTAGGATGTGCATGATCCTGTTTGGTTCGGGAATTCGGGTAAGATAAAAAATTAGTCACTTTAGCAATTCGGGACTTCAGCAATTCAGTAAAATCTGTAGGGTTCCCTAACCCTATGTTAACCCTATCCCTATGCTGCTCCTCACCCTAACCCTACCCTACCCCTAACCCTTTTTTGGCAGTTGTAGATGCGTAACAGATTGTGGAGGTCAAAGGTGTGTTTTTTAAAAAAAATTCAGCATATTTTATCATTTTTTTTTAAAGTAAATTATATGATATGATCAAAATAATGGTATCTTTAGAAAGACCATTTAATGGTGAAAACAAACTGTATATAATATGTGTGGATACAGTAAATAAGTAAGAGGAAAATTACAGCTAAACACAAACACCGCAGAAATTTAAAAACAGCCCTGGTCCTTAAATTGAAAAATGGTCTCGTCACTAAGGGGTTAAAGTGTACTCATTCCAATTACAGGGCCTCGAAAGAGTCCTGTATTGTTATTTTTTCGTCACTGCCTCCATGCGCCGGGAGTGGGTAATTTGTGCGCCTGCTGTCTTCCTTGGCTGTGGTAGCCGTTTCTCAGGCTCCCTCTCCAGGATCCAACCCTAATTCTTTGTTACCCGTGGTCACCATGGTAGGTGCAGAAAGTACCATCCAAAGTTGATAGGGCAGACATCCAAAATACATTGTTGCCATCCAGGGCCAGATTAACAGCCGAGTGGGCCTGGTGCTGACAATTATGACAGGCCTAATTAAAGAATCATATCGACCAAAAACACTAAAACACTCCCAGGCGTCATGTATCTGATGGAGATGGTGCTGGAGAGAAAGAAAACAGCAACTATAAGAAAACACATACCCTAGGCTAATCTCCCTCTAATTTATGTTTTCATCTTTCAAGTAAATCCATAACCCCTAACAGCAGTGTCCAGTCAAGCAGGAAGTCAATGGGCACGGTAAAAGGGTGTGCCACTGACACAAATCACGTGACCTGCCAAAAGGGGCGAACATGCCCAAAAAGAGGGTATGTCTGCCCAAAGAATTAGAAGGCCAGTCTGGCATGAATGCATGTCAGGATGCTTGCCAATCATGCAGCTGGCCAACTAAGGGCATACTATGCAGACAGCACCCTGAGCTTGGCATAAATACATCTAATGATGGGCTTGCTCAACGCTTTCTAAGGACTGTCCCCTAGCACTCGCTGGTCCACTTGTCTCCTTACCTTCTTACTAGCAGGCAGAAGCTCCTGGTATATAGTCTGGGACAGAGAAAAGCTGTATGTAGTGAGTGTAGAAGAGAGGGAACATGCCACAGTGTTAGAGAGACCAAAGTCAGCATTACCTTAAAGGATCACTATAAGGTCAGGAACACAAACATGAATTCCTGTCCCTATAGTGTTAACACCACCATCTAACCCCCCTGGGCCCCTCATGCCTCCATAATATAGTAAAAATCTTACTGTATTCAAGCCTGAAGCTGTAACTCTGCATACTGTTAGACTCAGAAAAACAAGCAGTCTTTAGACTGCATTAGAAGTGGTGGCCTGATCCAATCACAGTGCTTCCCCATAGGATTGGCTGAGACTGACAAAACGGCAAATCAGGGACAGAGTCAGCATGATTCAAACACAGCACTGGCCAATCAGCATCTCCTTATAGAGATGAATTGAATTAATGAATCTCTATGAGGAAAGTTCAGTGTCTGCATGCAGAGGGAGGAGACACTGAATGTTTGGATGCATTTTAGGCAGCCATGACCCAGGAAGGATTTCTAACAGCCATGTAAGGAGTGGCCAGTGAAGTTATCACTAGGCTGTAATGTAAAGACTGCATTTTCTCTGAAAAGACAATGTTTACAGCAAAAAGCCTGAAGGTAATGATTCTACAAACCAGAACAAAGTCAATAAGCTGTAGTTGTTCTTGTGACTATAGTGTCCCTTTAACTATATTCATACCAGCCAGTCCACACAAGTTTTGTTCCCATACATCCCTCTTAAGTTTCCATACTTTTTTTCCAATTTGAAATTTTTATTATCTTCAAGAAAAGGTATGGGGTACAGAAAAGAAGAGGGAGCGTTAACATATCATGGGGATGACACAATCACATTTTGTACATCTTGGTAGCTTCATGTGTAAGTGGGGGGTATGTCAGCAGGTCGAGGGGGTGTTGCTGATTGCTCAACTTATACAGTGTCGTCATGTATCTATGACAATGTCGTCGTGTATCTATGCCAATATCAACCCTGTGGTCTTTCGTGGGGTATACATTATGGTAGGCGTGCTCCGCAATGCGAGTGTTGATTGCGTGCGCGTTAGTGGGTATGTTGGAGTTGTCTGCGTTTCCCCGGCTTTGCCTATAGGTTGCAGAGGCTTTCGCAAGCGTTCGAGGTTGAGGGTTGTTTTCTTAAGTGTGATTGCTTGGGGTAGGTAGTGGGGGGGCCAGGAAGGGGGGGGAGATTGGATGGGTGGAGTAGGGCAGGGGGTGTTGGTTGGAGTACCTAGCGGGGGACATCCTGTGTAGTGTAGTGACTGTAACAACAATATGTTTGAAGCTTTGTGTGTTGCCTTGTTGAGTGTTTGGGTGCTGGGTGGTTGTGTTCTCCGGCTGAGAGTAAGCCTGGTTCGGGAGATTTTGTCACTTTCGTGGGTGTTGGGGCTCAGGTCAGTCTTGTGTTTGTTCGTCGTAGGTAGTCCTCCCACATTGTGGCAGTGTGGGGGCTGAGTTTCCCAATTTTCGCCTGGTTCCACATTATTAGTTCATGTTCTACTGTTGAGGTCATTACTTTTTCTATGTCTTGGAGCGAGGGCAACGTAGTTGTTTTCCAGTTTCTGGCTATTAGTATGGATACTGTACTTAGGATGAGGTATATAGTTTTTCGAATCGGCTTCGGGATGTTTCCCTGTAACGAGCGTAGTAGGATCGTTTTGGGGTCGAGGGGTAGTTGGTGTTTCGTGACTCGTTTGATTAGTTTGGCTGTTTCTTTCCACAGTTGATTCACCTGCTTGCACGTCCACCACATGTGCAGCATGGTGCCTCTCGCTGTGTGGCAGCGCCAGCATTGGTAAGTTTCCATACTTAAGTAAGAGTATGTGAAAAGTAGTTAGGGTTGCCACCTTTCTTGGAAAAAACATACCGGCCTTACTAATTTGCATAATTAAATATGTATGGGTGATATCACATTATGTAGATCACAAGGAGTGACATAAGAGAAAATGCTGTAAATTCACCTAAAAATTATTTAGTTTGATTATGCTGTATAGATGGATTCCTCCCAGTGCCCCCATGTTTCCCAGTGCCCCCATGTGTTGATTACTCCAGGTCTCAGCGTTCCTATGTATCAGTGTCTCGGTGCCCCATGTCTCCCAGTGTCCCCTAGTGTCGTGTCCCCAGGTCTCCCAGTGACCCTATGTATCACAGTGTCCCTATGTATCACAGTGTCTCAATGCCCCATGTCTCCCTGTGTCCTCCAGTATTCCCATGTGTCTATGTCCCCATGTATGTGTCACTAGGACACTAGGAAGACGGGGAGACCTGGGGACACAGGGAGACCTAAGGACACAGAGACAGCAGTGACAGTGGGAAACTAGTGGACACTGGCTCGGACACATGGGGCCACTGGGAAAATAGGGGACACTTGAAGACATGGGGACACAGACACTAGAGACACTGGCTGGGGGACATTGAGACATGAGGGCACTGGGAGACATGGGGACACTGAGACACCAGGGCCACAGACACTAGGGACACCAGCTTGGAGACATGGGGACATTGAGACACTTGAGGCACTGGGAGACATGGAGGCACTAGGATACATGGGGACAGTGAGACACTGGGAGACTAGGGGTCACTAGGAGAATAGGGGGCACTGAGACACCAGGGACACTGGCAGGGGACATGGGGACACTGGGAGACATGGGGACACTGTGTCTGTGTCATAATGTCTCCCAATGTCCCTTAGTGTCTCAGTGTCTGCCATAATGTCTCCCAGTGTATGTCTCCTTGCAGCCTTCCCCCCATCCCTTACTTCCCTGAGCTGTAGGCTGTCTCTGCAGGGTGGGAGTTGCTGTCTGGACTCTCTGTAGCTGCACCCCTGCAGATCAGTGAGTATAGATAGACAGGGAGGGATTTGCTGGAACTTCCTATCCCTGCCTGTCTCCACACACAGCGACCCCTACTGGCCAGTGCTGGTATTGCATAGTAATCTCTTGTTTATACTGAGAAAAATACCAGCATTTGTATTGCCAGTATCACTGTAATATTGGCACCAGCCAGGCAGCCTCAAATACTGGCTGTGCCAATAAAATAAAAGCCAGGTGGAATCCCTAAGAGTAGTGTGTGAAAAAAAAAAATTAAATTTTTTTTTTTTTTTTTTTAAATCAATGGGCCTATTCCATGGGCCTGGGCCTGGGCCTGGAGCTGCAGCTCCATCAGCCCCTATGTTAATCCGGCCCTGTTGCCATCACAGGGACGTGTGATTGGACCAAGGTTATCTAGAATCACCAAAGCGGCGATGGGTTTTGGTCTGATAAATGCACGCATCCCTGGGGGTCAGCGCTCGTCGGCATGTATTAGCTCTAGAATTACCACAGTTACTACAGGTGCCTAGAGAGATATCAGCTATGCCTCACTGATGATGCCTAACAAGGCTGAAACGATCGTCTGGGGTTGCTGTATCTCTCGTGCAGAGAGAACTTGCTGGCATTTCGGATCTGGAATGCCCGTATGGGTGGGACCAGTCTTATATGCTTCAGATATGTTCTCTCTGTAATGGCACAAGATGAGCTAAAACCAGCTTGAGTTCTGAGTGGGGACCCACCGAAGGGCAGACTATTTTAGCTGCTGTCTGTTCTCAGAATACTCTTGCGACCCATTTTTGCTCTCCATTAGTTTAAAGGGTAATCCAGACGTGGACCCCTTGCTCACGGTGTCTAGAGAGATATCAGCTATGCCTCACTGACGATGCCTAACAAGGCTGAAACGATCGTCTGGGGTTGCTGTATCTCTTGTGCAGAGAGAACTTGCTGGCATTTCGGATCTGGACTGCCCGTATGGGTGGGACCAGTCTGATATGCTTCAGATATGTTCTCTCTGTAATGGCACAAGATGAGCTAAAACCAGCTTGAGTTCTGAGCGGGGACCCACCGAAGGGCAGCCTATTTTAGCTGCTGTCTGTTCTCAGAATACTCTTGCGACCCATTTTTTGCTCTCAATTACCACAGTTATCCAAGTAACAGATGGAGCGATCAAAGGAACCATAACTCGCAGTTTTACTGTAGTGGCCGTGCCTACTTACACATGCATGGCTTAATCTTTGTGTCAAGCATATGCTACTGGCATGATCAATCAGGTAGCCCTTTGAGGAGAAAAGGCGGGAGCTGGAGGAAGGCTGTGGACATTTGTGGCGTCAGGGTGGATACGGAGATGACAGCAGAGCCAGGGGGAAATGCATTGCTCTGCGCAGCCTTGGGGGAGCAAGATCAATCTGAGGAGGGGCGGGGTAGCCGGTAGCCCTTTCCCATTTTCGGCCACCGAGGGGCACCACTGGGTGACCCGGGGAAGGCCTTCTTTTGCCTGCCCTGGGTCCCTCCGGGGTGCCCCTTGGTGACTGGAAACAGGAGAGGGAGCCCCCATGAAGCTCAGGGCAAGGGGAGGTCGTAGAGCCCAAATACCGATCTAAGTCAGGCAAGGGGGAAAACCACCTGTCGGTTTGGAGCCCCAGCTGGGCATAAAAGAACCAGCTAGAGTACCCTGCCCACTGTGTGAAATTTTGACTCTTCGAGAATCTCCTGTGGTGCCTGGACGCTGCAGTGCAGATCCGACCCCATTTCTTTTTGAGGTTTGGAGCTGTCAGGAGAACTTGTCTTGCTGCCGTCGGAGACTTGGACGCCTCTGTCAGGCTAGCCTTCTGCAGGGATAACCGACTCGTCCCTCCCCCGACGCTTTCACCAGGTTCACTGAGGCAGGCGGACGGTAGAACTCGCCAGGGTTCCCTTTGCCTTGGGAGAACGTGTCCTTCCCCCAAATTTTCATCAGGTTTCCCCCTGGAAAGCAGCCACGAAAAAAAGACTGTGCTGCAACAGGCACGGACTTTGGTGGTTGGGCGGGGGGGGAGAAAGATATTTCTGCCCGCCACCTGCAGCCCGGAAAGCCTAAACTGCCATAAGCCAGGACTTGCGGTGGGGAATACAAGAATAAATGGATAAATGAGCAAATTAAATGTAAAAATGTAATTAAATAAATACCTTTTCGAATCTTCACACTCTTCAACCGGTAGAACTTGCCCCTTCCCAAGTGGGGACTTGCTAGGGACCGGCTCACACTGCGTACGCCTTTGCACCGAGCTATGGCAGGCAGCCTGCTGGGCACAAGCTTACACAGTGACATCACAGAGCCTGATGGAACAATGAGGGTGTCATCCAGCAGCCACAGCAGACAGGCAGGCTGCTGGGTACAAGTATTTACGGTGACATCACAGAGGCAGGGAGGGATTGGGGCTGAGGTGAGTGCAGTGAGGCTGTAGTGGGTAAGGTGAGTAGAGGGAGGGATAGGGGCTGTGGTCGGTGCAAGGTGACCGAGGTGGGTGAATAGGTGTTGTAGAAAATATTGACAAAGAGCATACCTGGTGTCTCTGTCTCTTCATTGTGCCAGCACTCTGCAGAACAGGAAAAGAGAAGAGGAGAGCACACAAAGTGATTCCACTTCCCCTCCCTCCGGCCCCACCTCTTCCCTTCACACACATTATTGCATGGAGGAGACCTGGTAAGAAGGTGCCAGGTCACACTCAGCAGATGGGGGGAGTTGTTTTCACTATGAGAGGTTGCCCTGCAACCTATTGCTGGAATATGGGAGGAATTATGTTTTTCTGGCTAGGATGATCTCTCCAGTCAGAGCATGAATGCCTTTGGCCCTCGGCCCGTGAATGATCTGCCCAAGTGGTCAGTCTGCCCCTGCTCTTGTGCATGATTAAAGATAAATTACGAGAGCAGGAGATATGAACTTCTAAAGTAAACATACTGTGCTGTGGGAAATAGACTAGTCCTTTGAGAGACTTCCAGTTCTGTTAAAGTCAGCAGCCAGTGTTCAGATGCAAAAAGCATTCGTTTTAATCTAAATGCATATATGGTAGATTGTTGCAGATTCGCATGGACCAACTGAATTCTCAGCAGATTTTGCTTTATAAATATGCGAATTGCCACTGCAGTCGGAATTCAGACATTTTCACAAGATTTTGTCCATTGGGACAAAATCTGATGTTTAGTGAATAGCCCTAACATAGTAATAATGTGCATGACTATAAACTGGATGTAATGACCTGTTATAATTCCGGTCTGCATATAGATTTTTTTCTTTTGCTTTGGGTTTTATCTACAGGATGTGTGGAATACTAGGTAATAATAAGATTAATCTAATAATAAGTATTTTAGAGAAGGTTTGATAGTTACAGAATTTTGGCTCACATAATGCGTTGGTTTATAATGTTTATTATCCAACTATTAAATTATCAAATATTACGTCTCAAGTTTAACACTTGCAATGTAGCATTCACATAATTAAAATGCAATGTATAACTTGTTTCTCGTAGATAAGTCCATGAAACAATCAAAAGAATCTGAAGAAACAACATCTGAACAAGACTGATCAGCCTAGAAGGAATTGTCTGACACCGAGAACCTAAGTGATGTATCGAAGATATATTGTGGGACATAATTTAAAAAGTCTGGTACATGAAATTATTTTAATGACAGAAACACATCAAAGTACACAGTGAGGAATAATACAAACTAATGTATAAGATTGTCATCTGAAAAAAAAATAAAAAAAGATTCCCGATCTAAGGTATGTTTTCTATATTTAAAGAGGTATAACATCTTTCCTGGATAAGGCGATTGTCCTATTCTCCCTGTTTGTGGCTGAGGATGAATGACAACAGAAGAAAATGTACTGCACAGAGGAACTCACAGTTAAATACATGGGATACACACATCCTCATAGGCATAATAATGATTCTATTTAATTTCTTTTGGGTTGTGGAAGACCATAACCTTAAACATTTGTTTTCTTTTTTGATTATGTCTTATTTCTTAATTCCACTAGTCAACCTCTAAAATGGATGGTGGTCACAGTTTCTAACAGGTTAATAGAATATTGTTAGTAATCCATTTATGCAATTGTGTGATTTATATTGATTTTAGCCCCATTACAATTATGTTTTAAATTTGTACCAGAGTGAAGACTCGGCCTGTGGGGTATCTGCGCATTGTGTATAACTTTGCAAACCACAAATTCCATTGCCTGTTCAAAGCGAAGTTAACATAACAATTTATTTTGTCATTTAGAGCAGATTTATTACAGAACACAAACAATATGTATAGTATGTATAGAATTATCACTTTTCACTGTTCTAAACTTGTACAGACTATATTTTATTTTTAAAAGAAAGTACAATTATGGTAATTGACTTAACATATACATATATATTAGTAATACTTCAGAATTTTAAAGGATTTTGAAATGACATCATTTTTAAAAGTATCTGGAGAGGTTTTATAATCAAGTTAAAAATATTAAAGAATAAGCAGATTTAGGAAGTGTTTATTGGTAATTTTTCATATATTGTACTGCTTACGTATCATACAAAATATTGTAAAACTGCATACTTAAAGCCAAGATAAAGTGGAACAGGCAATATATGGAATATGTGGGTGATGTATAAATAAAATAAATATTTCATTATGTCTATATGCAATTCACAGTTCATGAGTTATTTATCAATATCAATGTTAAATAAAAGTAATTTCTAAAGTTACTATTGACCTGTCTTTATGATACATCTTATGTTCCCCCATTTTAGGGTTCAACTCTAGCATGGACATTCATTGGAAGTTACACGTTGCAACAATTTCTGAGGATTACATGAATAAACACTACAATTAGGGTTTTAAGTGAAACAAAGTTGCAATCTTTAAAGTTTAATTCTCGGAATGTTGAGTCACACACTGAGTAAATATTTGGGGGAAGTTTTAACAATTTAAGAGTTTAACAATTTTTATTTTTACTTTATTTATTTTTTATATATTTATGAGTAGTATATATATATTTTTGTTTTTTACTTATTTACTGTCTGACATACATAATTGCCATTTATTTGTAACTTTCAGTCGGATCCCCCATTATTTCTGGGTGATTATTTAGGACTCTACTGAGGGGTTCTATATTGAAGTGAGTGAACCTTACTATTGCTACTGGGAGTTTGGGTAGTTCATTCATTTTTAATTGCTTCTTTTTGTTATACATAGTTTACAGGTTATTTTCCAAATGAATTTTGGAGCATGCTTGATGGCAAATCTATTATCTGGATTGTGTGATCTAAATCAATGGACACATTGGTCCCTAGGGGTTTATGCCATGACATACCACCTCTGGGGAAACAGCAAAAATAGGAACACATCAAACAATTAAACAACATCTTGTTAAGAGTGTTCCTTCAAATTAAATTAAATTGAGAAAGAAAATTTGGATATTTTAAGTAGGGATTTAGTAAAATAAATAGTCTGTCAAGAAGTGTTGCCATGATTCTGATTTTCTACAAATGGAAGTAAGGTTAAAGAAAAACATGGAACAAATTACAAGAACAATTAAGGTTAAATAAATATCCTTTTCACGGAAAGTTTCACGTATATTTTGCGGCCCGCATGTACGCCTGAAGCAGAAAGCAGAAAGAACTATCGGCAGGACCATAAGCCTTCCAAAATACTGCAGAGACCCGTGAGAAAACCTGGAGTCGATTATAGAGGAGACTTCGTACTCCTCCTGTCCAGAAACAACCAAAGGTGGGGTAGGGGCAGAAGGGGTGGTATACCTGTTACAGATTAGAGGCTTAAGTAGGTATTCATGAAATGTATTAGGAATAAGCAGAGAGGCAAGGAGAGCCAAAGAATAAGACACAGGATTAATCCTACGCATAATTGGAAAGGGACCAATAAACCTGGGTGAAAATTTCATGCTAGGGGCTTTCATTTCCATAGTCCTTGTGGAGAGCCATACCCGGTCACCCACCTGCTAAACAGGGTTGGTACCCCGCCTCTTATCAGCTTGCAGTTTGAAACGAGCCGTAGCTGTTTCCAAAGCCGTGTGGACCTTAGTCCAAGTCTCATGAATACATGTGAGATGGTCATCCAGAGTGGGAATATCAGTGTCATAGAACACCGCAGGGAGGACAGTAGGATGACGACCGTTGTTAACAAAAAATGGCCTATGTCCAGATGAGTCATGGGTAGCATTATTTCTGGAGAATTCGGCCCACGGTAACAAATCAGACCAGTTTTCCTAATTGCCATTAATAAAACATCTCAAATATTGTTCCAACGATTGATTGGCTTGCTCAGCCGCACCATTGTTTTGAGGATGGTATGAAGATGAAAACGATAATTCTATACCCAACTGTTTAGAAAATGCTCTCCAAAATCATGTCACAAATTGGGAACCCCTATCTGACACAATATTTAGCGTAATACCATGTAATCTGACTATTTCGCGTATAAATATATGAGCCAGCTCTTGGGAAGAAAAGATGGCCACCAAAATGATCTAGAGACAGCGGACACCGTTTTATTAATGCCTGGATGTCCAGCTGTCACATTATCGTGAAACACTCTTAGTACCTCCTTTCTTTCCAGTAACGGAATAAACAACCTATCTCGAGGTTTATCACTAGGTGCTTGGGTCTGGGCTGCCATTATAGCACAAAGGAGAGGAGAAGACAAGGAAAGAACCATGGAGGCAATGATACATTCAAGAAATATAATGGGAGAGGTCTCTTGTTCTTGTTCTGCCTCTAAGTCAAAATGCCTAGATAAGGCGTCAGCCTTAATGTTTTTAGGACCTGGTCTGTACATGATAATAAAGTTAAAGCGTGACAAGAACAACGACCATCTAGCTTGTCTAGAAGACAGTCTTTTAGCAATATATGCCAAGTTTTTGTGGTCCGTTATGATCAGCAGTGGATCCCTGAAAACTTCTAAAAGATGTCGCCATTCTTTCAGAGCTAGGATAATGGCTAACAATTCTCTGTTACCAATATCATAGTTACGTTCCGCTGGTGACAACTTTCTAGAAAAGAACACACAAGGATGCAAGGGGTATCCTGACTCTCCCTCTGAGAAAGGACATCCTCTACCAGTGGCGTACATACCAGGGTCGCAGGGGTCGCGGCTGCGACCGGGCCCGGCCCACCAGGGGGCCCGGCCGCCCCTGCGACCCGGTATGTAGCCACAGGGCCAGCCTCTTCCCCTGGGGGGCCCAGGAGCCGACCACCCCAGGGCCCCCCGAGGCTGGCCCTGCTGACCCCAGCGGGCAGGTGGCCAGTCGGGCAGGCAGGCGGGTGGCGAGCACTCAGGGCTTCCTCTTCAGCTCCCTCGCGCACGCACTGATGCGAGCGGGAAGGCCAGCCATCTTCCGGCCCGTATCAACAGCGAGCTGAAGAGGAAGCACTGAGTGCTCCCTCGCGCGCCCGCCTGCCTGCCCGACCGGCCACCCGCCCAGGAGCCCAGCAGCAGCACCACTGGACCCCAGGGAATCCCCCCAGCACTCCAAAATGTAAGGAGGCTGGGGGGATTAAATAAAAAAAAAAAAAATAGTGTTAGTGTTTGAGTGTGTGTGAGTGTTAGAGTGAGTGTTAGTGTGTGTGTCTGCTAGTGAGTGTTAGTGTGTGTGAGTGTTAGTGTGTGTGAGTGTTAGAGTGAGTGTTAGTGTGTGTGTCTGCTAGTGAGTGTTAGTGTGAGTGTTAGTGTGTGTGAGTGTTAGAGTGAGTGTGAGTGTGTGTGTGTGCTAGTGAGTGTTAGTGTGTGTGTCTGCTAGTGAGTGTTAGTGTGTGTCTGCTAGTGAGTGTTAGAGTGAGTGTTGGTGTGTGTGTCTGCTAGTGAGTGTTGAGTGTGAGTGTTAGTGTGTGTGTCTGCTAGTGAGTGTTAGTGTGAGTGTTAGTGTGTGTGTCTGCTAGTGAGTGTTAGTGTGTGTGAGTGTTAGAGTGAGTGTTAGTGTGTGTGTCTGCTAGTGAGTGTTAGTGTGAGTGTTAGAGTGAGTGTCAGTGAATGTGTTACTGTGTCTCTGTCAGTAAATGTGTGTGTCTGTTAGCTAGTGTGTATGCGTCTGTAAGTGTGTGTGTGTGTGTCTTCAGCACTTACCTTTCTCCAGCGCCGGACTCCCTTGGTGCTGGGGATCCCTCAGCCTCTCAGCTCCGAATGCGACCGCGCACGCATTCAAACCGCCCATAGGAAAGCATTACTCAATGCTTTCCTATGGACGTTCAGTGTGCTCCTCTAGCGGCTGTCAGTGAGACAGCCACTATAGGCTGGATTAACCCTCAGTGAAACATAGCAGTTTCTCTGAAACTGCTATGTTTTCAGCTGCAGGGTTAAAACTAGAGGGACCTGACACCCAGACAACTTTATTGAGCTGATGTGATCTGGGTGTCTGTAGTGGTCCTTTAAAGGACCACTATAGTGCCAGGAAAACAATTGCCTGAGGAGGGTGCCCCCACCCTCAGGGGCCCCCTCCCACCCAGCTCTGGAAAGGGGAAAAGGGGTAAAACTTACCTTTTTCCAGCGCTGGGCGGAGAGCTCTCCTCCTCAGATCCTCCTCTTCTCCTCCCCGTCGGCTGTATGACCACGCGCGGCAAGAGCTGCGCGTGCATTCAGCCGGTCACATAGGAAAGCATTCATAATGCTTTCCTATGGACGCTGGCGTGCTCTCACTGTGAAAATCACAGTGAGAAGCACGCAAGCGCCTCTAGCGGCTGTCAATGAGACAGCGGCTAGAGGAAATAGGGGAAGGCTTAACCCATTCATAAACATAGCAGTTTCTCTGAAACTGCTATGTTTATGAAAAAATGAGTTAACCCTAGCTGGACCTGGCACCCAGACCACTTCATTAAGCTGAAGTGGTCTGGGTGCCTAGAGTGGTCCTTTAAGTGTGTGTGCATCTGCATGCACTGGCGTGCATACCGCGGTCGCAGGGGTCGCAGCCCTGTAACCCCTGCGACCAGGTGCCCCCGCCATGTGTTGCGGCCCGGCCCGCACGGGGGGGGGGGGGGCCCATGGATCAATTTTCGCACCGGGGCCCCATGGGTCATGTGTACGCCACTGTCCTCTACCCATGTCTCAGAGGCATCTACCTCTAGTATGAAGGGTTTTCTAGTGTCAGGGTGTACCAATATGTCAGCAGAAGTGAATAATTTCTTAAGTGGCTCAAAAGCTTCTTTAGACCATATATTACAGTTAACCCCCTTACGCGTCATATTGGTGATGGAGGCTATCACAGTAGAGAAACCTTTGATGACTCTCCTATAGTAATTTGCAAACCTTTGAATGGCTTTTAACCCATTGGGTAATGGCCAATGTAGAACGGCTTATAGTTTACGTGGGCCCATCTGAAAACCAGAGGACGAGATACTATAGCTCAAGAACTGAACTTCCATCTGGTCAAATGGACATTTGTCAAGTTTGCAATATAGCCCGTTTTTTAGCAAAGTTTGCAACACATGTTTAACATGCCCATAATGAGTCTGGATATCGGGGGAATAAATGGGTATATCATCTAGATAAATACAGTGTAAATCAGAGAATGGTGAGAGCACTCAATAAATAAAATAAAAAAAATTGTTATCAGGGCCGCCACCAGAAATTTTGGGGACCCTAACAAAGCACAAGGTCTGGACTTCCCCTGTGTGTTAGTGTAGTGAATGCAGAGTGTGTGTGTTAGTGTAGT